GAGTAGCTGGGACTACAGGCGCCCGCCACCGCGCCTGGCTTATTATTATTATTATTATTTTGTATTTTTAGTAGAGACAGGGTTTTACCATGTTAGCCAGAAGAGAACAATTCTAAAAGCTGCAGCAGTAAAGAACAAATAAATGGCAAAAGGAGAGGGGCGGGGCTGACGTCAGATTTCTCCTCTGTGGCACAGAGAAGCAGCGAGCATGGTACCTGGGGACTGGGCAAGGACACGCGCAGCCCATGAGCCCCACCCTCGGGGTGCCACAGTGGACGAAGGGAGGGAAAGCATTGCGGGACCCTTTCTTGGGAAAGTGTTGGAGGAGGCAGCGGCGAGCCACGAAATCCACAAACCCTGCACGTCCAGGCGAACACACGCAACGGTGAAGACTTACCTGGGAGGGAGAATACAGGTGCGACGTAAATAATCCGGAAATGGAAATATTTCTGAAATGAATCGCAAGCAAAGTCTAAAATAATAGCCCCGAATGAAAGTATTCATTCTGCAAAATCTAAGAGTTAGCATGACAGGTCTGGGGCAGGGGTGAGTCAAAGTCACACATGTTACTGGAAGAGGCTGGGAGTGGGTGGGAAGGAGAGGACGGGCGTGATGTAAAGCCCACTTCTCATGGGATGGAGGCTGGCCAGGGTAGGGGACGTCCCCGGTCCCGAGTTTCCATCAAACGGTAAAGAACCTTATGATGGACACTGGCAATTGGGAAGGGCAGGCACCGTTACCAGCCCTGCAAAGAAACGGAAATCCACCAGTAAGAGCAGAAGGAAACAGCAGTGCCTAGACGACCCAGAAAATACAGAGAAAAGAAAACTCAATAATCAACTTGAAAATGACAGCAATAAAGTCATTAGCCATGTCATGAAATCCAGCAGGCCGACTTGTTTCGTTCAAAGAAGAAACTGCCTAGATGGACAGGCAATCCCTGGGCTCTGTACTGTGGACAAGAAACATACATAAAATAATAGAACAAAGAAAGCCCGAAAATAAAGGAATAAGTAAAGTGATACCGGGTCAATGAAAGCCCAAAAGGCAAAAAAGAACAGAAAGAGGCCGGGCACAGTAGCTCCCAACACTTTGGGAGGCAGAGGTGGGAGGACTGGTTGAGGCCAGAAGTTTGTAACCAGCCTGGGCAATGTAGCAAGACCCCATCTCTACAAAAAATTAAAAATTTTGGCAGGCGTGGTGGCTCACACCTATGTTCTCAGCTACTCAGGAGACAAGGTGGTGAGTGCTAAGTAAGACAGGCTGACAAATATACTCTAAAAGGCACTGTTTACAAAGACAGCATTAAAATTAAAGCCTGGCACCTCTGCTCATGCCCAGGGGTGTAGCCTGGAGGAAAGGGCAGGTGGGCAGCCAGGACTGAGCCGCTTTCTGGTCTCACAGCAGGAGGAGATGAGGCAGCAGGAGGATTTGCTGACCCGTATGAATAAGTAAATTATTGTAGACAAAGATGGTTAATGCTTCAGGTACTTTTCTACCAAGATTCAAGCAGATTGAAGGGTGCCATTGATCTTCCCTGGGAGGGAAAAGGGGTTTACCTTGACTCATGGTTAGGGAGTTTCCTGAGGAGTCAGTAATGACCTTGCTTGTGTGTGCAGCGCACCACACCAGCAGCCATCTCACTTAAGCCAGTGGAAAAATTTCCCCACACGAGGGGCTTCTCTGTGTAGGTGGCACAGTTGCCGATTGGTTGGTTGATTCAATTTTCACCTTTTCTCCAGTATTTCTGGGATAAGATGTGGCAAAGCTACGGGGTCTCCCTCTGTCTCATTTCCTGCCATACTCCCCCCTTGGCAGCACCAGGCCTCGCAGCTGGGTGCCTGGGAGCGCATGCTCGTCAGCAGTGGGAACCCGGGCAGGTTACTCTGCTTCTTAATCTGTAAAATGGGAAGCATAATAGTGCCCCCTCCTCAGGCAGGTGGAAGAATTTCTCAGTGAATGACTGGGAAGAGCTGGCATGTGGCAGGTGACAGTGAATGTGGCTCTCAGCAGCACCCCAGCAGGTGAGCTGGAATAAAGGCTGCAGTTGCCTTGTGGCCATGGGCCTGTGTGTGCCAATGTTTTCCCAGCTGTAGTCCAGCCTTTAAAGACGAACAATTAGTGGGTGGAATTATCTCGTTGACTCACACCCTCAGATCAGAAGGCCCTGTGTGTTTGCGGAAGCTCAGCCAACCTGCTTCCTAGCTGGGCTCCATGGTCCACAGAGAAAGAACAAAGAATTCTATTTCAAACATGAGTTTTTCTAAGAGAAACGCGAGCCTTCTGATTCACCTGCTTTTTGAATTACGGATGGCATCGATTAATAAATATTAAAGGATGCTTTTCTCTTCTGCGGGGTTGTCATCAACAAAGAGCCTAGGAAGACCCACAACAAGTGGAGAATTGGGGGTAGGAGGGACGGAGAGGCGGAGGGGTGCGGGAGCAGGCGGGGCGTCCATGGAGGAAGACCGAATGCAACCTTTCCTGACGCAGGCTGTCCCGAGTCTGCAGTTGGCTCCAGAAATCTGTGTGGTCCCAGGAGAGTTACTTCAAGGTTCTGAGTTTCAATTCTCCGTGGTAAAATAAGAATGGCACTACCTGCTTCCTGGCTGGGGTGAGGATCAGCTGTGCTTAGCACAGGCATCTCTCAGCAGATGATGATGATGGTGAGGACAATGGCAACGGTCATCCTCGTCTTAATGAAGAGCAGGTGGCTGTGCTCCCACCCTTGGCACTGGGCAAGGTCTTTTCTTTTGTGAGAGAACAGGGCAGACAGGCTGGGGGCGGTGGCGGGGCAGGCTCAGAGGTGAGGACAACCTGGTGTGTGGCTCTGGCTCCACCTGCCCTCAGCAGTAGGCACATCATGGCATTTCTGAACACCACCCTGACCCTGAAGGTGCCCCCGTGACCCTTGCCACCCCCCTACCCACAAAACAGCACAGCTGCTCCAGGCTGTGTCCTGGGGTCAAATGGCCTTTCCCTTCCATGGAGGAAAGAGGTTAACTTGCTAGTTGAAAAAAGTTGGCTCCTGCACAGAAATCTCTATTTCCTTCAAGGTAAATGATGAGAGATTAAGACTCTTCCATTATCCCCCAAACTCTCCTTAAAGTTACATTAGCACGAAGAGGTAGAAAAAGTCCATTTCTGCACAGTTCCTGAGAACCCCCTTTTAACAACGGATTTCTCCGAAGGCACCAGCCGGTCCCCCACTGCACAGAAAGTGCACGTGAACTCACGGCCCCCTCCCAGAAGAGCGCGCCTCACAGAGAACGAGGTGCAATATTTATAAGTTTCACAGCAGTTTGCCTGCTGGGCAGGCGGACTCGCCTCCATCTTTTCTGACCTCTGATTTTTCCTTCTTTCTACAT